AAAATATAATAGTATACATTGTTAATAATAATAATAATAACAATAATAATAATAATAATAATAATAATAATAATAATAATCTGAAAATGAGAGGGCCATTTTGAATGACAAGCGTCTGGAAAGCGATTGCCTTGATATACACAAAACCAATCATCAATGGTTCCTGATAGACACTGTGGTACCGTGGGATAAGAACATCATGAATGCAGGTGAAACTGTAAGAGGTACCCAATAACCTGGCAGGGTAACTTGGAGAAATGCACCTAGCAGCAAAACAAGTTGCCCATTTTATGATTGGCGTACTCAGGATTATTTAGAAACGACAGAAATATAGTATGGATAAACTCCAAAAGGGGTCATTATATGTAGAATATAATGATTTTACTATAGGAATGCATTGAAAATGAGGAAGAAAGGGATTGTCAGTGGTCTGGAATGAATGCAAGCATTACTGATAGAATAGGGCTATTAGATGTATAATGAAAATACATTGTTAATGATTTTACTATAGGAATGCATTGAAAATGAGGAAGAAAGGGATTGTCAGTGGTCAGGAATGAATGCAAGCATTACTGATAGAATAGGGCTATTAGATGTATAATGAAAATACATTGTTAATGATTTTACTATAGGAATGCATTGAAAATGAGGAAGAAAGGATTGTCAGTGGTCAGGAATGAATGCAAGCATTACTGATAGAATAGGGCTATTAGATGTATAATGAAAATACATTGTTAATGATTTTACTATAGGAATGCATTGAAAATGAGGAAGAAAGGGATTGTCAGTGGTCAGGAATGAATGCAAGCATTACTGATAGAATAAGGCTATTAGATGTATAATGAAAATACATTGTTAATGATTTTACTATAGGAATGCATTGAAAATGAAGAAGAAAGGGATTGTCAGTGGTCAGGAATGAATGCAAGCATTACTGATAGAATAGGGCTATTAGATGTATAATGTAAATGCATTGCTAATGATTTTACTATAGGAATGCATTCAAAATAGAGAAGAAAGGGATTGTCAGTGGTCAGGAATGAATGCAAGTATTACTGATAGAATAGGGCTATAAGTGATCAGAGGGCGAAAGACCTTGCACACGTCGAAAATGATACGAATAAAGGAGCTTCTCTTGAAGTACTCTCCATGAAGTATTATGAGATGTACGACATTCTAGGGACACTTGACGTGCGCTGATACCTGTAATGTCATTGAATGGCTGTAGAATATGTTTTTAGTGGTCAGGCATACGAACGGATCTCGGTCTTGCTCTATCCATAGTTTGTAGTGCCACGGATCCTGTCTCAGCAACGCGACGATGAACAACGGCAAAGGTTGGATGACTCGGCTGCCTTCGGTCCGGAAGCGCAATATGATACAACCATGCAGCCTCGCGTCCCTTACCATTCGCGCGGCTGTATATCTGCCTGCTCACGATATGAATGCCCAACAATTGTTAAACAGAACACTTCACTACTGCACATGTTAAGCGTTGAGGACTGACTAGTCACACATGTACACGAATGACAAATGTAACATAGTCTATATGGCAAAGCAGCACCATCTACCGTAAATTTTCTTGATAAATTAATAACTCAAAACGAAGAATTTACGGACAGACTTTTGTCTTTGTTTTGTTGGGAGGAACGCGCCCACTAAGTTTGTAAAAATGTTTTTTGATACATCCCGTATATTGAAAAATATATATATATATATATATATATATATATATATATATATATATATATATATATATATATATATATAGAGGGGGAAACAAATATTCGTACACATACAAATTTTTAACTTATTGTATTTCCAACTAACGAATAAACCTACTTTTCATATAATTAACTGTACACAGATGCACAATAACTAAATATGCATAGAAAACAGAAAAAATTGATTTAATAAAAATAAATCCCATATTCATCTTAATGGGAGGAAAAATCATCCGTACAATGCAAATTTCAAATTTTAAAACTTTTAAATTGCTTTAATACTCTAGATTATTCAAGTGGAATATTGTAATAATGTTATCTGTAGTTATTTTTAGCCTAAAAATACAAAGAGAACATTCTGTAATTGATATTCGTGCAAGAAGGTTATCATCATGACAAGAGGTAAAGAATAGGCAAATTCGCAAAAAGAACTGATTGTTAAGCTAAGGAAAGAAGGTAAAAGTTACAGGGAAATGTTAGACAACCTGAATATTCCATTTACTACCATTAATTCATTCATTTCAAGGTATAAAAAATTCAAAACTGTTGAAAACCAAAGAACAGATGCAAATGAAATGATTTATATACACGAGGAAAATTTTATTACGAAATTTTTAATGATGAATATTCATGATCGTTTCTTAAATTTAATAATCTTGAGAAAAAAACTAACAACATTTTGCGCTTATCTATAAATACTTGTCACAAAATAAAATCGTTGCATTTGTCTAGATAAAGTCCATCAGAAGATGAAACGTGATTTTTAATGATGAATATTCATAATCGTTTCTTAAATTTAATAATCTTGAAAAACTAACATTTTGCGCTTATCTATAAATACTTGTCAAAAATAAAATCGTTACATTTGTCTTGATTAAGTCCATCAGAAGATGAAACGTGATTTTTCAGTTTTAAACTGCTCTCATAATGTTCATAATCTTTCCCCAAAACGATACTTTATAAACTAATTTCTTACTTTCTGGTCACTTATGACTCCTTAACCATAACCGCTATATACTTTTGTCGATGTCTCCATAGCGTTATACCCTTGCTTGAACTCCCATAACATTATGTGACGTAAATGCACTTTTAATCCATCCATCAATGCGGTTAAGAAAATTAATTTTCAGTTCACTATGGCACTACCGTACAAAAAATAAGGTAACATAGCTTATTTTTTTATTATTCTTAACTGCCGCCTATGACTTCAGTCATTTCTCAAGTCTATGTGTCAATTCAAGGAGAGCTTCTCTGGTCGTTGAGAAAGTGGGGCACGCCTTTGTCCGAGAGAGCCCAGAGGCTCGAGGCCTTCTTCGACAGAATTACCGACGAAGAAAACCGAAAGAGGATCCATCCCGACCTGGATAAATCTTTCAGACATGAATTCTATGCTGTCAAGGCTTGCCAAGTACGAAAATTAAGTAAATCGAAAAATCAGAAAGTGATACACAAGGTCCATCACCATCCGGTAAAGGCAGGTCTTCAAGGACACTTGGCCCAGTCGATAAAGACATTGATTAGATCCAGTGACTAAACCCAAAAAGTGGTGAGTTCAATACAAGGCTACAGCAGTGGTGAACCCAAATTTGGAGAATTGAGTTAACTGGGACATCCGGAAGAGGCATGTCACGTGGAACTAGAACAATCTACCCCGGTGGGCGAAACAGAGGGTTCGAATTCAAATCCCCTTCACAACGGCCGAAACGTTGTGAATATGGCAATGAAGATGAAGATAACAGTCCGAATAATGTAAATAATGTAAGTAATCATAATAACTCATCTCTGAGATCCAATCACCTGAGAAGGCCGGAGCGTACAACGACCTCGTCTCAGTGATATAGACAGATACGTGAAACATTACATACCAATTATTTGCAAATTTTGACTCAGGAGCTCAGGTAGAAAGATTAAAATTCAGAAACGCAAGGCTCAAAAGGCGTATGATGGTTACTCTAAAAAGATTGTTGGTCAAATGGCTGATATAGTGTTTTGGTTACAGTACAGGTCTCACAATCCATTGTTAGTAAGATGGTTTCTTTTTGCTTCTCTAAATCTTATACTTCTTTCTCTTCTTCCTTCTCTTCCACCTTGTTATTTCTTCTGCGCGTCTCCTTTGTCCTCCTCCTCCTTCCCTTTTACTTTTTCCTCCTCCTAAACCCTCCTCTGCCTTGTCTCCCGTCTCCACCAATTTCATGTCTCCTCTTCCTCATTCTTCTCCTCCGCCTCCTCTTTTGCTTCCTCCTCCTTCTCCTCCTCCTTCTTCCGTGACTCTTCTTCGCCCTCTTTCTTCTTCTTTCCTCTTCTCATTCTTTCTCCCCCTCTTTGTCCAACTACTATTTTTTCTTCTTTATCTCCTTTTTTTCTCCTCCTCCTTGTTGCTTCTTCCTTCTCCTTATCTTCTCCCTCTCTATTCTCTTTCTCTTCATCCTCCTTCTTCTACAGGTCATTATTGTTGTTGTCTTCCCATCAGTATATGAAGTCGTCATCACTGCAGATAAAACAACGCTAAGTCTCTAATGTCCAGACGATCTCAAAGAATTTACAGACAACTCTAATGCTAAAGCAAGATTCGCAAGCGATAAAGAACTACAAACACAGACACACACTCAAAATGGAAATTTGTCTGCAACATCCCTGAGGCCTTATGAGTATGACAACAACTCGACAGGTGGTCATGAGCAAATTCTGTCTCTCCAAAGGGTGAGGCTATCGCTTGAAATATCCTTGGATTAAAGGCAATCGACCTTTATTAAAAGATTTCATTTCTAAACTGTTATTATTTATCATTCATCCTCACCCATTTTTATCTATTTGACTTTCTTTTTCGTTAACTGATTTCATCTAATCTTTGTATGGCTCAAGGACATCGTTGTCAGGCACAAACAAAAGGTGATTCAAAGAAACAACACTTAATTTATATAGTTTAATTTAGCACAAGATTATAAGCGATTATGTAACTAATTTTAATTGTCATGGTCTTTTTTTATAGGGCCACGGAACATTCATATTGTATATCTGTTTTTAATACTACTCCTATTATAAGTCGATCATAACTGATCATCCTTTATAATCTATTCTGACGATAGGAACTGCAATATGATTTCCTTTCATTTAAGACAAAAAAGAACTTAGGCTTAACGCCAGAACACGTTGAAACACTGATGCCTGTACGATCACCGAAGTTAAGCAAAAGACGATCCTGGCCAGTATCTAGATGGGTGACCGCTTGGGGATACCAGGTGCTGTAAACTTCGATGTGCGGGTAATATGGAGAATTTACGGCCATAGAATGTTGAAACACCGGTTCCCGAAGGATCATTGAAGTTAAGCAACGTAGACACTGGACAGTACCTAGGTGGGTGACCGCTTGGGAATCGCAGGTGATGTAAACTTGGATGTACGGGTGATATAGAGAGCTTACGGCCATAGAACCTTAAACACCAGCTCCTGGAGGATCACCGAAGTTAAGCAACGTAGATCCAAGCCGGTACCTAGATGGGTGACCGCTTGGGAATATCAGGTGCTGTAAGCTTGGATGTGCGTGTGAGATAGAAAACTTACGGCCATAGAACCTTGAAACACCGGTTCCTGGAGGATCACCGAAGTTAAGCAACGTAGATCCTGGCCAGTATGTAGATGGGTGATCGCTTGGGAATACCAGGTAATGTAAGCTTGGATGTGCGGATGATATAGAGTGATTACGGCCATAGAACGTTGAAACACCGGTTCCCGTAGGATGATTCAATTTAAGGATACAGTCGATAAAGTTTAGTCTGGCACAAGGCCATAAGCGATTATGTAACTCATTTTGTTTTTACAACTGGAAAGAAACTCCAACTAAAGACATCCCAATTGAATGCACCTATTCCATTGTACATGATACTGCTGGAGTATCAAAAGGGACTTAAATAACATTGAACATGACAAACAATCAAGAAAGAGAAAATTTTTACCATAATTCATATGTTCACGAAGGTTTTATTTCTGCTATTATTAAATGATTTGATGAAAATACTTGTTGGTCATGGTATATTCAATCGTGTTATTTTTAAAGACTTAAGGTCGGATTGTTATTGCAAAAATAGTATTTCTCAATAAGCCGACCAATATTTGTAGGTTTAAATACGAAATGAGAGGTTTCTAAGATTGTATTTTGAGAAATATTGCCATCGGTCAATATCATATATACAGAAAACACATGAAAAAAATGCTTTTTTTCCAAAAATTAGGCATTTCTGTACAGCAAAAACGGTAGCTAACCAAAAAAAAGTAACGTCATTTTCAGATTCAGTGCCATCAAATTGGCTAAAAAAAAGTTGTTTGATTTTTCGACATTTCAATTTTTTTTTTTTTTTTGATCAGTGTTATATGTCATTCATAACTAATCAACCTTTGCAGTCTATTCTGATGAAAGGAACTACAATATAAGGGGTGAAACTATCGCTTGAAATATCCTTGGATTAAAGGCAATCGACCTTTATTAAAAGATTTGATTTCTAAACTGTTATTATTTATCATTCATCTTCACCCATTTTTATCTATTAGGTTGGTGCAAAAATAATGACGTAATAATGTCGTTTGTTGACGTATTTTTTAACGTCAAAAAACGATATTATTACGTCATTATTTTTGCACCAACCTAATATTTGACTTTCTTTTTCGTTAACTGATTTCATCTAATCCTTGTATGGCGCAAGGACATCGTTGTCAGGCACAAACAAAAGATGCTTCAATGTAAGAACACTTCATTGATATAGTTTAGTCTGGCAGGTTATAAGCGATTATGTAACTCTTTTTACACTGGAGTTAAAAGAAACCACATCACTTGAGTACTTTCAAAGCCCGGGAACCACTCGAGGTAGAGCGTTATAGAATAAGCGGAACAGTTTATGCGGGTATGCGTGGAAGATCAGGGTAAACCCTAGACTTGAACAGGTTAAGATTGTAGTGACCGGGGAAGCCACCTCTTCAGAATCGGTTCTACAAAGTAGTGGTTCGTGGGAAGAAACTGCTTGAGTGGTATTTACATCTCACCACGGGAATGTGAAAGGATTTAGGGTGGCTCGCTACAATGTGCGTGACATTGCCGGTTTTAACCGTGAAAATACTTTGTCGAAGTTACGGGTGAATGCTATTCCGCTAATTCTCTGGAAATCTAAGACCAAATTTATTACCTGTATTCGATGGCCTCATAGTCATAACTTCCGAGTTTCAATTCTTGCATTCACATCACAAGCCTCATTCAGTAACTCTCTAATTTGAGTGGCTCTTGAGCCTTGTATTAAGCGATATTTCGAATAAAAATAAATATGAATCCAGCCTCTGCGATTAATTCCACCAGAGATTAAAGTACACCGACCTCCACACAACTTTAGTGTCAAGGGGATGATATTGGTGCAGGGTTACACTTCCTTCATTGATTTCCAGCGAACTGGCCGAAATCAGAAACACGACAGAGAGAAGAACTGATACTACAGTTTGATCCTTCAAGCTAAGGAATAGGCGGACATCTTCGCATTCACCTTTACTCCGCCATCTTCGCATTCAGCTTAAACCCGCCATATTACACATTCCACCGCATTTGACCCACAGTGTGTGTGTTGCTGTGAAATTTTTCTGCAAACGTAGATTCTTATTCCCGGGACGGTGTAAAAGAATTTCCACTTTTATTCCTTGTCGGGTGTGTGCCTGTCATCAGTTGACCCACGTTTGCGCGTCCTAGGCGTAACTGGGTCGATTACCTTTACGTTAAGGGAAGCAACTGACATACAATGAAGGCACACAGCTGGAAGTGTTGACTAGAAGGCTACATTACAAGTCAACCCGCTGATAAACCTAGATTCTCTGGCGACCTGGTGTAAGACTGAGTACAAAATCTTATTTTGGTATCATTTTGTGTGAGCCCAGATCACAAATCAATTTCTTATTGGCATGAACTTCCATTCAAATCATCGATTCAAATCACTGTTTTCGTAACGATTCTTTCATTTCAAGATACATACATACATATATATATATAGTGTTCTTACATTGAAGCATCATTTGTTTGTTCCTAACAACGATGTCCTTTCGCCATACAGGAAGGAGGCACGGTGGAGTAATGGATAGCGGCTTGGATTAAGGAATCGGAGAGCTGAGTTTGGATTTCAGTCAAATCCATTACATTCACTTACGTGCTAATACCCTTGGGAAAGGTGTGAATCCTCTTCTTCTCCCTCCAGCTATGGGTAAAAAGCAGGACAGACTGGGTTCTATAGCCTTGGATGGCAACTGGTCTAGGAGATGGACAACTATAAATTCAAAACCTGCGGAGGGTCGTTTGGGGACCTTGAGGCACTTTGTACAGCAGGTCTCTGAATTCGGACCTTCAAAAAGTGTGGCTGGTCTTGCACGAAACCTTCACCACTATAATCAAATCTCATGTGCCATTGTCGGGCTGTCGGTTTCCTGGGAACTGATCTGCTTGACCCTCATACGTCGAATTCGACGGGAGAGTTGACTACTATATATATATATATATATATATATATATATATATATATATATGGAAATAAATATTTTGAAAAACATTGGGTATGTAGATTGTAGTAGAATAAAACAAGTACCCAATATAAAAATGAGGAATAAAAAAGAAAAGAACCAAGAACATGAAATTGAGGCGAAAACAATCGTCCAGAATTCAAGCTCAGAGTCCAAAGAAAAAAAACCTCCAAAATGAGTAAAAGTAACTATATAAAGTGCTCAATACACGAAGTAGAGCAGACCTAAGATAATCGTAAGGAAACAGGCAAACCAACCTATGGTTTCACCTAAACGGATCGTCAGGGAAATGCCGGCCAAAAAGGTAAAAAAATGGAACAGAATATATTTTTAAACCAAAAAACAACAATGACCACGTGACAAAAAAAAAATATAGTAAAAACTCAATTTTTTTTACCGGCATTTCCCAGACGATCCGTTTAGGTGAAACTTAAGGTTGGTTTCCCTGGCTCTTTACGTTTACATTATATATATATATATATATATATATACAGAGAGAGAGAGAATATAGTTTAACATACATAAATAGTAGAGCTGTAATCCAAGCCATGATTATTGACATCCTTTTCCTCACTTCACACACACACACACATATATATATATATATATACATAGCTGGCCACGCGTATTCAATTACAGACGCTTGCTCATTTATTCTACACCCACATGGTTTATCACCTTCTTGACATATCGACAATAGCCTGATTTGAACCCGGTTCTCCTGGTCATAATGCGAGCGTTCTAACCACTCGGCCACGTTCGGTTTATACTGCAACACAGTTTCTGGGAAAGCGTACTCAATAATTTCAACAAGGCCAAAACGTTCAAGCCCTCGGCCACAATGACTTGTGACTTTGTGCTAGCACAGCTATCGACTGCCACCCAAGGGTTCTGCAACGCTTAGGACAACCCATGATATGGTTTTCAGTCACTTCCCAAAGATGCCGCACTCTCCAGACCTATAACATCAGGAAGTCCCTTCCTGACAAATTGAGGTCTCAGCACGTAAGCAGTTAGAACGTTCGCATTCTGACGATGAGATTGAGGAATCGGAGAGCCGAGTTCGAATTCCAGTCGAATCCATTACATTCACTTATGTGCTAATACCCTTGGGAAAGGTATGAATCCTCTTCTTCTCCTTCCAGCTAGGGGTAAATAGCAGCCTGTCCTGCTATTTACCCATAGCTGGAGTTGTCCTTCTCCTAGGAGAAGGACAACTCTGAATTCAAAACCTACGGAAGGTCGTTTGGGGTCCCTGTGGCACGTAGTGCACCAGGTCTCTCTATTCGGCCCTTCAACAAGTATGGTTGGTTCTGCATAAAGCCTTCACCAATATAATCAAATCATCATGTGCAGGTGTATGGCTGTCGGTTCCCAGGAACTGCTTGACCCTCATACGTCAAATACGACGGAGAGTCCACTATATATATATATATATATATATATATATATATATATATATATATATATATATATATATATTAGTTATTTTGCTTACTCGTATCGGTTTTTTTTCCTTTGTACGATTATTTTCGGCTGACGTACATGTTCTTGGTTATATATATATATATATATATATATATATATATATATATATATATATATATATATATATTCTGTTTGTACGATATTTTTATAGATATAATTTATTTAAGTAAATGCTTTTTAATTAAAAAAATTAAGTACATTTACCGGCCTGAATGTTCGAGAAATTTCATAGAAAGTATGCGTTCTGCAACAGAAATGGAACCGTCAGTTGATCTGACGTGCTGTTAACCATTCAGCCACAGAGAAGTGCCTGGTTAGCAAAGTTCGAATTACTGTTTATAAAAACACACCTTCGACGATTTTTCTCGAGCGATCATTTCAGCTCACAAAACGTACCTTAACGTAAACAATGATTACGTTATTATTATAGATACAATATATTCAAGTAAATGCACTGTTTTTTTAATTAAACAGTATTAATTACATTTAAACAATATTAATTTACATATATAATATATATATATATATAAAAAGGTTTAAACACTAATATCAATGAGAATAATTTATTCCATTGGAATGGTTTAACGATCCAATTCATCAGACCTACAAATTCAATTTTTTTGAAATTGTAGGTCTGATGAA